TGGCGGCCGGTAGTAAAAACGCAAAATTTTCAAACTTCCCGTCGGAATATGAAGAAAAAATTTCTACAGGTGATTAATAGGGTAGTATGGATTATTTGGACGAAGTTTCAAGTTTGTACGAAAAGATAGCATTTTTCGTCCAAGGGGCACTTTAAAGAGGAAAATGTGAATATTTGTATAAATTCTATTATTTAAATACTCAATCGTGATTGGCTAATTTGTATGAAAATTTGTCTGGGTGGCCTTGGTTGGTGTAGTCGCACAGTAACATGATAACGTCTTCCTAACTATATAGAGTGCATTCAGTCAAACTGTTGAATAGTTAGATAAATGTATCTAACTTAGATAACTATTTAGTTGACATCACCTAAAATAGTAAAACCGCGCCAAATAACGGTCATGCTAATCCGGGGGGTAGTTTTACCAGAGAATGAGTGCATAGACATTCATTTGTATCATCGTTTGTCCCCCTGATCTCAGTAGCGGTTTATTACTCGTAGTTTCAAATTTATGTGAGGTCAGCTAAAATAGTAACTAACTCATCTAATTTAGGTGACGTCAACTATTCAACAGTTTGGCTGAATGCACTCTAGATGAATTATAAAACTATCAGCTATTGACCGGAAACGCCGAGAGCTACATTACTCCACAAACACAGCCTCGTAAATCAAACGCCTTTGAAGTTTTCGGAGGCCACATGCCATTAGCTATCGCTTCATCAAAAACAGTCTTAAGATTCTTTTGTGTGACAGACGAAGTTTCCACATAGCAAATACAGCGAGTCTTTTTTGCCAGTCCTTGGGCCTTTTTTATAGTGACTGGCTCTCTATTCTTTTCAGACAGCTCTAGTAATACTTTCAGACAATTTTTCATATCAGAGTGAGTGCCGACTAAGATTATTGGAGCTTTGGGATTATATTCGCGTATTTCTGGGATCCATTTTGATGCAACGTTGGAGAACGAAGTTGGAGAAACTACAGAGAAGCAAACTATAAAGACGTCGGTGCTGGAGTAGCATAGCGGTCTGAGTGAGTCGAAATCTTCCTGTTAACGAATGAAAAAAAGGAATTCATATTATAATTAAAACTATTCCAAACGGAACTAAAATAGATAAGCTTAAATAAATAAATAAGAAAATTGACTTGCATGAAATCCATAATTTAATAATATAAATAATTCTCATCGCTGGGCGGATAAATGTTAGCAAAAGAACATTCCAGTCTTTGTAAGAGTTTTTATTATTAAATTGTAGATAGAGTAATAGTTGTCTTTATTATGGCTTAAAAGCACGTTTTGAATCCAAGAGTGTGTTCTTGTCGGGTGGTGAGCGTGTCATGTCATGCATAGCAGACTTTTTTAACCCGTGTGACCGCACGAAACCAAACACGCATGTAATATACATACAAAATAAACACCGAATCAACGTATTTTATTGGTTAATTCAGAATCGAAACACTTTTAAAATAAATTATCACAAATTGAGATACCCTAATCCCTTGTGGACGTGAAAGAATCGATTAACAAAGACAAAGAAAAATATAGATAAAAATCGTTGCGTTTCGACACGTTGGCTCTTCAATGTTTACCTACCTGACCCGCGGTATCGCAAAATTCAACAGTGCAAACTTTTTTATCGACTTCAACGGATACTATTAAAACCAAAGAAAAGAATTATATTAATGAAATAATTTATCATTGATCAATTGAGTTTATAAGAAGTTTTACCTTGGTAATTGTCAAATGCGGTCGGGATGTAATCGTTGGGAAATCCGTCCATAAGGTAGCTCACTAGAAGAGAAGTTTTCCCAACACCACCATCTCCAACTATTACACATTTCAAGCTAGCCTTCTCTTTCTTTCTCCTTACTAGTGGCTCCTTGTCATTTTTCGAATCCATGACATCCTAAAAAGCTGATATCCATGCAATTTTACGCAACTTTTTACCGAACTTCCTTTCGTGAATCCAAGTTTATGTATTTCACCAGAGATAATAATAGAAACCGGAAACTACGTCATCGATATCTTGAAATCTGATTGGACAATGAAGGCTTTTTCAACAAGCTTTTCAGCACTTGCTGTAAGAGAAATTTGTACAGAAATTGTACCAAAATGAAATAGTTATAAATATATCCTTTTTGGATAGATAATAATCGAAAACGTATGATTTTGAGGCAAAAGCAAGTGTTTCCTAGGATACTCAAAGGTTCTTCAGGTATTTTGATATATATGCATATAACATATTCAAATTAGAGCTTTGATCCAAAGTGAAAGCCATGAACTTTAATCCATGTGGAATAGCTAAACCGTTGGACAATAAGTATTCATTCAATTCCAATCCATTCATCATTTATTCATTTTCTCATCAACTTTTTTTTTTGAATAAATAAATCATTCATAATTTACTCATGATTTTGTTTTCTTTTTTCATCTTAAATAAAATTCAGATACGATCATTTATATATTTGTTTATTCATGTATTAATATATTTGTTTTTTGTTTGTTTACTCTTATTAATCAGTATCTATTTTCATTCGTTTAATTAAAATTTATGATAAAACATAGACCAGATTTCTTGCACTATTTTCATTACAAACTTCACGAAATTCTAAGCTCAGCATCTAAGCGATAATATTACAGATAAAAAACACTTTGTTATCGTAGGTTTCGGTGTGTGTGTGTGATCCCCTTAGTGACCTTAAGTACCTTTTCATCAAAGAAAACACGTTCAACGGATGCTTCATACTGATCGCCTGCTTTGTCGGCAAAAGACTGATCTACCACCTACCACGTTGTCAAGTACTATTTAACAGCCAAAGATTGAATGTCATAAAGAATAGAGCCGAAAAAAGTAGAAGAAAATAAATAAGAAGTTTTAAGGCTGCCCCGTATAATAAAGTTTGAATGAAAGTCAAAACGCTATCTTTTAAGTTTCTGAAAACGTGTTTTTGATTACTTTCTGTGACGAAAGCCCGTTTGTTCCGTCCCGTTTTCACCCTTCCCGCGCTTAGGCGCTCGACCTCGTGTTCAATCATGGGAAATCCCCTTGCGCTAAAAAGCCCTAAAAAAACCTGACCGGTTTTCCGAAAAAAAGGGGAAATATTTCAAGCTAAGATTATGAACTATATTTAGTCTGTTTATTTCACAGAATATGATTTTTTTTATTAATACGAAAATATAATTGTAGGAACTTTCATTCGATTTTATGTGGTATTATGTGCCTATATACTCATCAAAGTATATTGCGAACAATTCTTATGATAATAATATTTATTTCTTATATCTTCATCTTTATTTATTATTTCTTCATCCTTTCTCATGGATTTAGTGAGCGCGCGCTCATCGTGATGACGTCAATTCTTGCTAGTTTGACCATTCTTCACTGCTATTGTTTTTCTCTTTCTCGGTTCATTAAAATAACCATAGAAAACCCTTCAGTCCAAAATACTGAGACCACATATAAACATTTGTCATGCACTGAATAATGATAACGATATTAACGATCAATGGGACGCTGGTATTTTCTTTGAAATTAGTATTACTGTTCTTCCACTAGAGAAATATCAGAAGGAATTTGGTCCTTTTTGTGCAAAATCTTTAGTACAAGACCATGAACGTAGAAAATTGCGGCATTTGTAGGGAACGCTCTTAAAATGGTCGGCAAAAGCCCTCGTGTGAATACAACCAATCCTTCTGAACGGTAACTCTTTACCGCACAATCCACAAATCCAGAATACCTGTAGTTACCACGGTTACCATCAGCTTGAACACGTGACTTGATGACGTCAAGCGGAAAAGTAGATACCCAAGACACGACCCCGGAGAGACCCCCGGCTATCAGAGGCACTAGTACGCTACTTTGTGACGTTATTTTGGACAACCAATGCGTAAATAACTCATAGGTACCAAAATAGACCCCAAATCCTGGAACATCGCGGAGGAGTACGACCGAAAAGCCTTGAAAGCATCCGGCAAGCCCTCGAGCTTTAAAGATCTTTTGAAGACAGTCTAGTGAGCCTCGGTATAAACTGCTTACTCTCTTTGCTAAAATTGAAATAGAGATAGGATTACTTGACCTGAAGAGTGCCCACGTATACCGATGCGGTGTCTGAATCACGAGAGAAGAAGAAACGCACCCGTGGAAGGAAGAAATCAAAGAAGAGCAGAAAAAAGATATGAATTTATTGCATTTTTCCTTTGTCGTACCACACCTACCTGGACGGCTTAAAAACGTGAAAAGCATAAATTATTTCACGAAGGTAGAACGCTTTACAGCTTTACGTGCAATGATCATTTCCTTTTATCTTTAAATTTAATCTAATCCAAAATGCAGCGGTAGGAAATCAATTAAATAAAGCTGCTATGATGAATGAATTCAATGGACCTCATTAACTCACCTCAAAATTCATGTGCGATGAATAAATTATCTCTGTGAGTGACGTTGAAGCCGATAAAATGTTGCAAAGCTCACCTTTTTAGAAAATTCGTTATTAAACCTTCAAATTCCTCTAGAAATTGTTTTACGAAACTGAGTTTTAATTTTCTAAGATATTTTAAAACTATTTGTAAAGAATTAACGCACTTTTTACACTTCGGTTGAAGCTCTTGAACTGCCTTCAAAATGCATGCAGTATGAAGAAATTATCTCTTGCAAGGATCGCTTCCGAGAGATAAATAGATTTTTTTTTTTGTTGCAAATTCGTTATTTATCTTCCAAATTCCTCTAGAAATTGTTTTATAAAACTAAGTTCTAATTTTCAAAGACGTTTCCAAAACCATTTGGAACTAAGGAAGGCATTTTTTACACTTTTGAGTTGGAGCTCTTGAACTCGCTTCAAAATTGAATGAATAATTTATCTTTGTGTATAACGTTAAAGCTACTAAAATGTTGCAAAGCTCCCTTTAAAAAAAAATTTTTTTTGTTCGAATTCCTTCAAAATCCTCTAAAAGTTGTTTTGTACTTAGTTCTAATAATTAGTTTTTTAGACTTTTTCAAATGGATTTCAAATAAAAGAAAATACTTTTTACACTCTTGAGTTGCAGCTTGTTTTAAAATTCAGGGGGGATGAATAACTGATTATCTCTTGCACGTTGCCCAGGGCAAGTAAAGAAAATATGGATGAAAAATGGTCAATTGTATTTCTAGAAATGGTTTTCAGCTTACCTTCAGTTTGCATTTGAAGTTTGACTTTAACAAGATCTAGTGGACAAATTATAAAGCACTGTGCTAGCCCAGCCAATGACCCAGCAAAATAACTTCCATCTGATTGGCTCTTGAAAAGCTTGAGGGTGTTACCATAAATCCCGAAGAGAATGGCATTTTGAATGGCAACAGCAGTGAGTGGAGGAACCATTCCTTTGAATAACCCTGAAACCTTACATAATAATAACAACTTCTGGTAAAAAGTGTGTTGCTGGCTCACAGACCTACTGACTGGTAATGGATGTTCCCAGATATGGGCTCTTGATCTGGAACTGGGACTTTGAGGTGCTCACAGACCAAGTAGAGCATAAGGATCCAGATGGGGGTGGGGTTGGGGGGGGGGGGGATTTAAATCTCACATAATGAAGCAGGATGATAAAATCCTAAGTCACTCCCTGTTTAATTGGCAAAAAAGGTATAGCGCCTAGGATTTTTCTTGTGTTCCAAAGTGGTATCTTTAAGTGCTAAGATTAAACCCAGGACACGCACGGCCTTCATTCTCTCTTTAGGGGTTAATTTTATTTTTTTCAACAATCATCCCCGCCATCTCTATATGGGAGTACCCTCCCCCCCACCCAGGAGATGCATGCTCTTGTTAATGAACTCCTGATCTGAGAATATGCTGGCTGACAGAATCAATATAGGAGATGGACACTCCTGATCTGAGAATATGCAGATTAAGAGAAGCACTCTCCAGTTAGTACATCAGAATTCTGCAAGCATGGCCCTGCTAGAAGATGGACACGAGATGGACAAATCATAGCTCCAGATTTGATTTTAACACCCATAAAAAATTAAATCTACCAATACTTACAGATTCATTCTTGATAGTACTAGAAAAAACTGTCTTGAAGTCGAGTGTCTTTGTAGCTTTGCCTTTTCCATAAGCAGCTTGCATTCTGACCTGAACAATAAATGTACATAAATTAAAAAATAATAATAATTGAAAGGCCAAGGGATTGGGAACTAGGGAAATAATGCTGGGGGGGGGGGGGGTGGGGTAAAAAAAATTGGAGTTTGTATTAATGGGGCAATATTTTTGTGTTTTTAGTTTGTTTGTTTATTGCATTGATGTTTTCAATATTTCTTAGCAAAATAGATATTTTGTATTTTGTGGAACTGCATGCAGCTGCCCTCGTCCCTCCCTCTCCCCACACAACTGAGAATCTTTTTTGTTTTTAAATGACATTATTAACAGCTAGATTAAGTCGTACTCTTTAATTTATTTAGAAAATATTAATTCCAAAGAACCACCCCCAGATTCCCCCCTGACCACCACCATCGTAAACATCATTATCATCATCATCACCATCATTTGATATCATCATCATTACTATCATCCCCACCATCCCCATTACCGTCATCATTGTCACAAGGATGAATCCAGGTGTGGGAATCAAAGGTGTTTGAACCCCTCCTGAGGTTCAATCGATTGTTTTACCCTAAAATTTAGTTTTGCCACATGTACAGTAGTCTCCTACACAGCCGTTTTTAGTGTTGTCACGCCATGCTCACTCCCTACTTAGGGGAGTGAGCGTGGCGTGACAAACTAATAGCAGCTGCATAGGAGACTACATGTACAGGTTTGAAGTAAATTTTACATGAAGTATACGTTTGGACCCCCTTCTCAATGTTTGGATACCCCTCTCAAAAATTCCTGGATATTTCCATGTGTTATCACATCATCACCATTCATCATTTTATACCTTGACTGTGTCCAATGGCTGACCTACTACCACACCTGCGCAACCTGTTAAAACAATGAAGAATTATAGATAAAGATTTTTTGAGACTAAATATCACACACAAATTTTTGTGCACGGTAGGTCAACGTCACATAACGATGGATAAAGTCGGGAGGAACGAAAACCAGATAAGGTTTCCAAAACTCAAACGTCATTTTTCCGGCTAGGAATTTCACAAGCACGCTTGAGTCTTGACCCCATCTAAATTTACAAACAATTTGCGAAATGCATGATTTATTTGGTGAATTACCTTATTCTACCCTTGAATAAACAAAAAATAATATTAATAAGACATGAAAAATGATTACAAGTAAACATGCCAAAAGTGAGGATCAACTAAAAAGTTTGCAAGACGTATATATCGAGTAACTAACCTCCAAACCATCCCGCTATGAAATCGTTTAAAGCTTTCATAAAGATTTAGGCTTCAGGTACCAGCAGACAAAGTTTACGTAATTCAATTAAAAACAAGCAATAGTCTGCTGCTGGTCTTTGTTGTCCTTCTTTTACTCTTTGGGGCGGGTAATCGATCGAAGAATTTGAGGAACAATTGATTGCTTTATAGCATTATACTTTGCGTGACAGAACTGACAAACGTACCATGCTTCACAGTAGTTGCTCCGAAATAGTACCAGTTGCGCAGAAATCACAGCTATTTTGACTTAGCCTCCACTCCTGTCCAATCCACCCGTTATCTTTCATTTTTCATTATCCCAAAAAGCTCCAAAAGCTTTATTATTTACATTTCATCCTACCATCCCATTTGCTCATTTATATAACCACTAGCATGGGCTACCGTACCGACGGGCTACATTTTTTCCCTTCCACTCCCGTCCACTCATTTATCCCCGAGCTTGATAACGATCCTTGGGTTACCTGTATAATTCATCGCAGGGGAGGTCTGGGTACTAGTCGAAATATTCCATTTTCTAAACAAAACACGTATATATATATATATATATATATATATATATTTATAGGGATTTTATTTAATTATTTTGCCATGTCTTCAAAGGTATGTTTAAAATTGATAATAATAAGTGTTCATAATATAACGATGTTATTTATTTTGGTCTGAAACAGTACAAAGAGAACAGGGTGTTTTCCACTTGACACGTTGTAAAAAATTATCGCTCCCAACAATTTCGTTTTACAGCTTCTTTGCGGGCTTCTTTGACACCTATTCTTCTTTATTTTTACCCTTCGTGTAGAAATATTATTGTTTATTAATGCGGGCAGCAAAATGTTGTTGTTTTGTTTGTAAGACAGCATTAGATTAAAGACAATAAAAACTTGCCTTGAAATATTGAACATTGAATGCAAGATTAAGAGGGAAATGAAACAAAAATAGAATGATATGTCTTTTTGATTTCAGCCAGTTCTATACTCGTACTTTAGAAGTTCATGCTCATGGAGAGTCAGGACAGGTAACATTCTGTTAAATTCCAAAAACCTTCTTAAACTTTGCCTTTCAGTGAAATCCCCAGATTTGAGAGTGTCTGAGGAGGGTATCTAGTGCAGTTATAGTAAATAAATATCTTCCCCAATGGGGGGATGGGTGGGGGTAGGGGAGATTTAGTAGTGTCTACTTATTAGTACTCAAAAATCCATTCATTTTTTTCTTTTTCATTTTTTAATTTAGCACTTGCTCTCAAGGGAATTGAATATGAATACCATCCTGTGAACCTTATCAAAAATGGAGGAGAACAGGTATATAAATAATAATTTGGGCTGTCTATACTAGTATTATGTTTTATTTTTATGTTTCATATGATGATAAAATTAATTTAAATTTCGAGTAGGAAGAAGGACTTTTATTTTATAAATTTCCATGAGGACGTCACTCCATACTCACCTCAATAAAATATCCCTCTCTCCCCTCCCCCGAAACACATGCATGTTACATTATAAGGGACACTCCCCACTCCCTCAACAAATCACTCCTCTCTCCCCTCCCCCAAAACACATGCATGTTACATGATAGGGGACACTCCCCACTCACCTCAACAAATCATTTTTTCCTTCCCTCCCCCCTCCCCCCCCATCTCCCCCAACACATGGATGTTACAAATGAATTGCCAATAGGAATAGGTCACAGTGAGTCTATGGGTCTAGTGAGGGGTGGAATATCTACTGTAACATCATTCCCTATGGAAGATATTGATACATGATTATTTCAGGACCTATGCAGTATTATTCTATTATTTTGATACAAATAATTTCAATTTTTGTTTAGCACTCGGACGACTACAAGAAACTAAATCCTATTGGAGAAATACCAACACTAGTCATTGATGGACACACCTTAACCCAGTCTGTAGGTCTCTAGAATATGGAATGAATCATTCTCTAATTCATTTACCACACACTGTTTTCATTGTTACACATCAATACCAACACTAGTCACTAGTCAAATACCAATACTAGTCATTGATGGACACACCTTAACCCAGTCTGTAGGTCTCTAGAATACAGCATGTAACAATGGCTTTGTAACAATGACAACAGTGGTAATCTGGTTATCAGGAAATTTAAAGGGGTGCAAATGCACTGATCATCTCCTAAAATGCTAAGAACAAGTTATTAGTAGCTTAGCAGTTAAATGTATATTTACTTCTTGACTAGGTGGTCCCCACATTTTTTCTATAATGCATTCCCAACTCTCCTCATGAGGTCTCTGTGCTTTTCAATCATCAACTCAACAAATATAAATCAGCATATTGTTTTGATGTTCATCAGCTAGGAATAATTGAGTATTTGGATGAGACAAGACCAGAACCACCCTTGCTTCCAAAGGGAGACCCTCACAAGCGTGCACTGGTAAGCATAACTTATAGATTTAATAAATAAGTAGTATTTTCTTAAATCATATTAATGATGATAAACAGAACTTGGGCTGTCTGAGTTATTACGAACTTCATTGAGTCCCTATTATTATATTCTTGGTTGGTTTGTTAGGTGCGCCAAGTAAGTCTTCATATAGCTGCTGGGATACAACCCATTCAAAATTTGAAAGTTCTTCAGTATGTTGGTGCCGAGAAGAAGATGGAGTGGGGCCACTACTGGATTGATAGAGGCTTCCAAAGTGAGTCTCTTGTTAAATTTCATTTGAAAACATTTTTTTACCTCCTCAGGGCTTAAAATAATGGCCGGTTAGTTGCCAGTCAAGATGATGGTCCAAATTAGTATTAGCTGGTCATACCTTATTTCTAGCTCAAAATTACTAATCAAAATAACTTGCAAGGCAAAGATTTGACTGGACAAGTTCCAATTCTGGGTGGACATTGTCTGGTTTCCAGACAATATTTTAAGCCCTGCTCCTTTCAATGAGTTATTCTGTTAAACTCTCTTTTTCCTCATTTTCTCCCATAATCTTTTTCCATCTTGTTAGAAAAGATGATCAAAATTTATTTCCCAAAATCCAATTTACTCTTTTTTCTTGTTTCATTTCTTTAATCTCTTTGTTTGCTTTGGTCCTTTTTCTCATTTCTTTTGTCTCATTTATTTCCCACTCTATTCCTTTTATCCAGTTTTTTTACCTTTGGTCTTTATTGTATCTCCTTCATTTTTTCAACTTCTAAGTCTTACTCCCAAACTCAATAATTTTTGTAGGTTTGGAAAAGGTGCTACAAGGAACATCTGGAAAGTACTGCGTTGGAGATGAGGTATGATGGAAATGTTTTTTATTAGTTTTTCTTGTGCATTTGCAAATATAAAATGTGTTCTTCTTTCCAGATCACCATGGCAGACCTGTGTCTCGTCCCTCAGGTCTATAATGCCAACCGTTTTAAAGTAGACATGGCACAGTTTCCAGTCATTTCAAGGATTCATGATGCCTTAGCTCAAGTTGATGCATTCAAGGAGGCTCATCCTTCTCGGCAGCCTGATTGTCCTGAGGAGCTGAGGGAAAATAAATAAATTTGTATTTTGTGAGAAATCCCAAAAAAATTCCTTGCCTCTATTTTCATATTTTCACAAGATTTTTCTTCTCTTGAAAAGAAAAGACCCCTTGATGTACTATTTTTTATGTTGACTCCATGTTTGGGATGTGAGGCAAGAGATCTATAGTGTTAGATATTTATTAGCATACTCAGTATTATACAACATTTAGGGCTCAAATACTATGGATCTCACCGAACTGTGGCGACACACCAAAAATTTGTCTCGCTACCACACCTTAATTTATCTACTGACACACCTACTTTAGTCAATGTCTTGGATCTAGCACATTGCCAGCAAGGTATTCACTGTAATACATGTAACAAAAGTAGGCATGTCAGTAGACCAATTAGGGTGTGGTAAGGAGACAAATGTTTGGCATGTCGCCACAGTTCGGTGAGATCCGTAGTAAGCACTAGCAATAATTAGAAAAGTGCAAGTACTTTTCTTTGCTTTACGATTTAAAAAAATCTGCTACTGAGAAAACGTTTTCAAGTAATAATGTTTCCTACATGATCTGCTAGTGGACAAGGTTAAGTTTGAGCCCTGAATATTAGTTTCATTAATAAAAGGTAAAAAGAATTTTGGTGATTAATTTTTTGTGTTAAATAGACCATTTAATAAAATTCTTTGTGTGAGTTGTATCCATATTTGTGTGTGTTAAACAAAGAAATGATACTCTAGGGAATGACACATGGTCTGTAATGGGAGAACATTACACCCAAGCTAAAAAGAAGTTAATTAAATGCTGGTTAAAATCATTGAAGTTTGACATATTGCAAATTTTACCATTCCCCTGCATGGAATTACGAAAATAATTTCCAACTAATAAATCCATTAAAAGCTAATATTAACAGGGACGTAGGAGCTAGGGGGGCTATTGCAACCCCCCCCCCTCCCCCCATACACACAATTTTTGAGAAATATGAAACTAAAATCTTATGTTCAAAAATAATGAAAATGTAGACGCTAGTAGCTATAGCATTTGCTATGCTAGCATATATCAATCAAATCAAATTTGCTAAACAACCTAGTTTAGATTTTAGCCCTACCCACCCCCTCCCTAAAAAAATATCCTCCTACGTGAGATAAAAATGAAAAAAATTCCAATCAAGATAAATTAATTTAATGTTTGAACGACTTTATAAAATTACCTTTTCCTTACATATCCGATATCTTTTTTCTTTAAGCGAGTCAGTAAATTTATGCTTAAAAATGATCTGACGTAATGGGATTTTCACAGAAAAACTGTAAATTGTTTTAAATTTTTTTTGACATTTCATGTATAATTTATGCATACCCAGATAGGCCATACCAAATAAGGGATTTGTATATAAGATCGTTCATGCAGAGTTTCACGATACTTGAGTTTCACTGGATGAGTTCCCGCGGGAATCACGCGGGACACGCCCATGCTGCGACCGTGAAGCTTAATATGTGAGCTGGGCATCATTACGTGCACGAAAAGATGGCGGAAGTCATCTGAGCATTTCCACGAAAACCTCAACTTTGTAACCATCTTACGGCACAAATAACTTCGATTTACCAGCCCAATCGAAGACGAAAGCTTACATTATCTTCTCGCTTATTATTTCGTCGTTATAGAGAAGTATAAACGTCAAGAAGAAATAATTTTTACTTCGCAAAGGCGAGCGAGTGGTGTGATCTTACGGTAGTCTAGAATATCAAGTTTCGTTCTTCAAGAGATTTAATCATAATTATCGAGTTTATTGTCTACAAGAAGCATGCTCTTCACGAAAGAAAAGGTGCTTGTTTTAATGGTCTTCGTTTTTGCTTTATTTAAGCCAAAAACTGACGGTAAGTCGTAAAAATATTCCAATAAATATATTCAGGAAACTAAAAATTGTGTAATGTTGTGTAAAAGTATATTCTTTGAATCTTGTCCTTCTCACACATTCTAACGTTTTATAAAAAGTGTATATGTTTTACTTACTAAATCATAGTCTGTTTTCATAGACTCTAATGGCATTTCTTCTGGAATTTTATATAATTTTTTAGCAAGATGGTCGCGATTATTGACTATTAAGCCTACCTAAGCTTGTTTACTTTTGTTTTCCAACTCGATTAAAAATACGTACAATTTTATGTGAACCGAACTTAATTTATAAGTATAGGGTATTTTCTTGAGAGTAATAATTTCTAAAGACACTAAGTCACTTGAGGAAATTGTTCACAAAATTTTCATCTCTTAAAATTCAATTTATTTTCTTCAAACGTTTGTACAATATGTACAACAACATATGATGAAATATAGGCTTATTTCTATCTTACTGTACGTTTTTATGAACATGCATTTACACCTTGTTCATAATTTCCAACAGAGTGGATTTTGGTTAGTCTTGAAAACCTTTTGAAAAACCTTCAAATTTGGGCTGATCATAGTCAGGGCATGGCTATAACTCACACGTCACATGGGTGGGCGTACTGTTAACGTTTCCAAAAATCAACTTTTTAGCCATAAACGATTGGACTTAAATAAAGAAGTCATAACTGGTGATAATATTTATCAATTTGAGAGCAGTTGTTTCATTAGTTCAGGAGATATAATAAATTAAAGTTGCTAAATTTTGCAGTAAATGCAGGTTGGTTGGCCAACATTTTGCCAACCAACATAGATTTACTGTCAAATTTTACAACGTTAACTCGAAAACCATCAAGAGATTTGTCCTCAAATTCTCAGATATCTTCCAAAGGGATACGATCTTGCTACTCTTGACTTTGTTCGTTTATTGCTTGAATTTCCAAGAATTTCTTGTTCTTGATCAAAACAAATGACATCATCGTACGCCCACCTATTAGAATTTAGAATGTCAGGTTTTGCATAGACAAGTAATATGGAGAACTTCAAGAAAACCCCTGCAAATCAATGGGGGGAAGCTAACTGCACTGCACTGACGTAGATCAGCCCAGATATTGTTTCAGAGTTCCATCTCTGAGTTAGCCGTGCCCTGACTTTGATCATCCCAGAGGTTGCTTCAGGGTTCAATCTGTGAGTTAGCCATGCCATGACTTGGATCAGCCCAGAGGTTGTTTCAGGGCTTGATCTGTGAGTTAGCCATGCCCTGACTTTGATCATCCCAGAGGTTGTTTCAGGGCTCGATCTGTGAGTTAGCCATTCCTTGACTTTGATCATCCCAGAGGTTGTTTTTGGGGATATCGATAAAATGTTAAAATGTGAAGGTTTTAAAATGTTTTTCTTGTTTTGTTTTTTAGCTTCTACTTGCAGTACTCTTTCAATCAAGTTACCATTGAAAGCAAGGCATGTAGGTTCTTCAACATGGTTTGGTGCAGGCGATGTCTTAAAATTTCACTGTGAAAGTAGTGGTGCAACAAAACCATACTATAAACTAAAGGGAGTAATAAAGATTGAGTGTCAAAAGGATGGAACCTGGAGCTCCAAAATTCCAATATGTGCTGGTAAGTTTTTATGAAAAAAATTACCAAGCAATAAACCTGAAGCGTTTTACCCCCGTCTCTAGACCATAATCCTTTTGACACTGCTTTTGTTCTTTAATTATGACTATTGTTCCTGTATTCTCTAAGGAATCAAAATTTTAATATGAAAGAATTTTAAAAACTATTATGGTATAGAGTCAGGGGTAAAACGTCATCTCGCTTCAGGCCTATTGGTAATAAAATCACAGTTTTAGGGGTCCAAGTCAATGGAGGTCTGATGAATTCTAGTGGCTCTGTGAACTTCAATAAAACCATTTAGTACCTTGGGTGTAATGTTTTCCTATTTCAGGCCAAGTGTCATTCCCTAGAGTTTTACCATTTCTTTATTTAATGGTTAAGCACGAGAAGACGCATGAATATGTAATCAATACTATTCAAACAAAGAAGCCTATGCCCAAGAGAATGACACGTGGTCTTGGGGTAAAAGAATTGTGTATGTTCGTCATATCTCTTATGGGTAAAAATCAGCAATTTGGTATCTTTTAGGGTGTGAAGATTGAAATTTAGAATTGCGGCATATGTCTTGGTATCTTTTGGGCTACAAATCGTCCAACCACGCCCCTCTTAAAAGACTTTTGGGATTTTTTAGGGGTATTTTTTTTGAAATTTCCGATGAGCATACCCGATACTTTTATCCCAGAAACCACACATTTATCTATAATTTTGATAATTTTTTCTCTCTCTTCTCAGCTTCTGCCTGCCCAGCTGTTGGTCCATCTGTTCCAAATGCTCAATTACTGACCACTATAATCCCTGGGGGGACCAACAACTTTGGAAATAGAATCAATTATAGATGTAATTTAGGATTTAAGCTTGGTTCTAGCAGCTCTAATAAGATATGCCAGAAGAACGGGTATTGGGAAGGAAATGTGACATGTGTGGGTAGGTACTGGTTCAAATATGTGTTTTGTTTTAAATACTGTGCTCAGCATCATTATGTCATTATCATCATCAGTTATCATCATTATCATCGTCACAGTCAGTTGTCATCATCATCAGCAGCAGCAGCATCATTATCGTCATTAGCGTTATATTATATATTTTATTAGCATAGTATTAGTACCATATTTTAGTATTTTACTTAAATTATATATATTATTATGAATTTTATCAGGGCTCCTATTGATAACAGTTATTTTATGTAACTGAAAGGGCTACCCTGTATAAATAAAGATTCATTCATTCATCATCATCAGTTGCATCATCTTGATCATCATCATCATCCTCATTATTATCATCAGTTGTCATCATCATAAGTTGTCATCATCGTAAGTTGTCGTCATTATCATCAGTTGTCATCATTATCATCAACCTTGTTTTAGGATTTTACCTTCCAACAAAAATCTTGGTCAGTGGTATTTCAACAATCAAAATGGAGACACAGATTCAAATTGAGATTCATATTTTTGTTTGTACCAAAATACCCAAAACATGGCACAAACATGGCACAGACACAGCCATGAGAAGGTCATGGCACTGTGTAGTTTCAAAAACACCCATACCTTTGCCACAAAGAAAGGTAGATCTGAGAAGGGCTCCAACATCAATATTTACATCCTCTTTATGCTATATTCCCTCCCCAGGCATTGTCTGTCCTCTACCATCCATTAACTATGGTAATGTAACGTATAGCTCATTAGGCTATGGCAGCGTAGCCAACTATACCTGTGATAAAGGTTATGCTGTGAATGGACAGCCAATAAGAATATGTGATAAAAGTGGGCATTGGTCTGGAAATACTCCTCTGTGCTGTAAGTTGACCTAGACTAGTTTTCTTTTGTCCACCAGTGCATTTTTCCCAATACATAGCTCTTATTAACCAAGTTGTGTATGTGTTTGTCCAACCACATGCGATAATGAATTCATTTGTAATTAACTGTTGCATGTGATTGGTCAGAACACGATGTCTGTTACTGAAAGAGCTTGTTTATATTTGATTATTAGTAAGGCTGTGTCCACAGCTATCGGCACCAACCAATGGCTACATCAAGAACCTCGTGGATTACCTTGCATCTCGTGAAGTTGGTGCTACTATAAGATTTGTATGTAACCCGAATTATAGAATGAGAGGCAATAAATTCAGGACGTGTGAGGCTAATGGGAGGTGGTCAGGACAGCAACCAAAGTGTGGTAAGTAGATCAAGGGTAGCGTAGCAGCAGTGCGTCCACTTGCTTGGGGTCTCCAGTTTTAATGCTGGTCTTTGCATTACTTATGGTTCTCTGGTTTCCCTCCCTCCACAAAATCTGCCATTCTAAATTCATACTCTGAGTTAGCCGTGCACTGACTTCTATCAGCCCAGAGGTTGTTTCAGGGTTCCATGTGATTTAGTCATGCCATGACTTAGATCAGCCCAGAGGTTGTTTCAGGATATGATCTGTGATTTAGCCATGTCATGAATTAGATCAGCCCAGAGGTTATTTCAGGGTTTGATCAGCGAGTTAGCCATGCCCTGATTTAGATCAGCCCAGGGGTTGTTTCAGGGTTCTATCTGTGAGTTAGCCATGCCCTGACTTAGATCAGCCCAGGGGTTGTTTCAGGGTTTGATCTATGAGTTAGCCATGCCCTGACTTAGATCAGCCCAGGGGTTGTTTCAGGGTTCGATCAGTGAGTTAGCCATGCCCTGACTTAGATCAGCCCAGGTGTTGTTTCAGGGTT